AGGGATAGGCAGAGGTGCAAATTATACCGCTATACAATGTAACACAGTGGGTGTTACACTATTTATGTTATGAGTCCTATGTTATAGGGGGTGAGTCTATTGCCTTTGTGACTTTTGATTATTTAAGAAGAATAAAGATTCAAACATATGACACTGATAACAAAAAGTAACGCGATTAAATATTAATAAGTTGTGAATTTGAATATTTAAATCCCTCTGACAGAAAGTTAAACAAATATAAAGAAGATTATTCTGTAAAAGCTGACATCGACAATTTGCTACCAAAATCAAAAACCCCCGCATTATACGGCCGTGCCATGCCCGTAACTTTATGACAGACGTTTCTAATAAGACCTTTATTATTACAGCAATAAAAATATACGACAGTTCAACAGAGAAAGTCAACATTATGAGCTACAGAAGAAAAATTGGGACAAGTCTCATTACTCGTTACCCTCTATTCAATGTACTTCACAGAATGCATATAATTTGGCAGTGGCGTGCAGTCCATATAGACGAAAAGGCTTTGCCTACCTATAAATATCGTGAATATATAACATACATAAAATGTACAAACGTGTTTATTAAAATTCAATAATATAATAAAAGTTTGTAAAAAAACGGCTAACATAAATACGCGCCTTTGTAAAGTAATGAATGCGCCCCGCACGCACCACGCATGCGCCACTATTCCTTAAATCTTGGTTGGTAGTAGTGACGTCACAAAAGAAATGTACCAAAAGTATGCACCGCGCATGCGTGAAGTTCACGACCATAGTCACGGTACAGAATAACCATTCATAATTATATTACACGATTCCTGTTGATTGACAAAATGTTTGCAACTAAAAAATTAGAGGACCGTTCGTTCATCACTTGGAAAACGATCGTATTTTATTAAGAATTCTAAAACAATAAAACAGCAACAAGTTATTGTATTTTTAAAAACAATTAAATTATAAAAGGTTTTAAATTGATAAAATCTGTATATCGTAAAGTACTGATGAATGGAGTACATCAGCGCCATCTATTGAATTTTTTGTTGAAACTTCTGAACTCGTTCGATATAATGCGAATGTATTTTTATAAATGCGTATTTAACAAATATGTTTCAAGTGTTTTAATTAAAGCTTAACATTTTTACGCGTTGTCGGTTTATAGAAATTTTAAACGAGGAGTTGACTTTATTATTATAAAAGTTAAAAGGAAGTTATTGAAACTTCAAGATGGCGCCATTTACAACGTTTCAAATTATATGAATGAATGTTTTTTAGTATGAAATATTGGTTTAAGACGATGATGCAATTTCATTTGACTTACTAAATTAACCTTTGTTTTTTTTAAATTAAACGCTGCATTACCTTAATTTTTAAGCTACATTTTTTTATAATAAACACTCAATTGACTATTGGTAATGACTTCAATTCGTTTCCAATGTTTTCGGCCATATTGTTTTCATGTGATGTGCGATCGCTTTGTTTATGTTTTCGTTTAAATTATTAGGAATTAGTTTTAAACATAAAGTTGCATAAATGTGTAGTAGTAGTTAAATATATGTGTAGGTTTTTCAAATAGTGTATTTGTTTATCAGTTTCTAGTACAAGTACCTATATTATTCTATTGTGAAGTTTGTGTGAATAATAGTTAATTTTATGTGTTTGTTGAAAGTAAAAACAGTAAGATTTCGCAAGAAAATGTCCTTTATCGGACTAGATTCAGGTATGACCTGGACACGCAGACAGACGGACAGGCAGAGGTGTACTCGAGTTACGAGAATTGACCCAAGTAAAAGGTAGGTAATGTAATTATGTACTATAATGGATCTTTTATTTGATTTTCTTGTTTATTGTTTGATAATTCTTAAAAATATCAACTTAAACTTCCGGTTGTACTGATTCACATATTAATTTATTATTAATAATTATGTAATGTAGTAATAACAAATGTACCGCATAGACTCGCCCGGCTCGGCCACAGCCGGCCGCGCTTGTTATTGTTTTGTATATTGACATAATGTAGGTACCTACGCTCTTAAATTCGTAATATATTATGATTTTGAACAGATTGATTAAACTTAACAATTCCATAATGAAATTTGTTTCATCAAATTTATGCTTCATTATTAAATAAATAATAGATCCTTCATTATTTGTAAGTTTTGTTGGCTTATTCAATAGCTGATGAAGTACTTCACAAAAAATACGCGAGATGTCAGTGTATGTAATTTGGCGAAAGTATACACCACAATATCCTTGAACGCACTTTTCAAAATGTATTATGTACATGTACCTGTCTTGTGTGAGTATGATTGTATGACCGGCGGGGGGAGTGGTTTAATCATACGATATTTAGTTGCCTACCCTGTCTTGAAAACCTGTGCACGCCACTGTAATTTGGCAACGGTCTATTATTGCATGCTATAATTTTCTTTTGGCCTCGCAGCACCAGCTTTTCGTTGTGAATATAAAAATAGTATCAATTCAGTATCGTTTATCTAGTCCGCAGCAATGCTATGATATCACTGGTCTGACTAACTCATGACATTGTGTGGACCTCAGCTCGTATGGAAATCGTACTGGCCTTGGTGGACTATAACGATGTGATTAGATCTCACACAATAAATCTCGTTATAAAACAAAAATACTGGCGCCATTAATTCAGCAGTAAAATGGTCACAAAAAGTTTCTGAAATAAATATTTGTTGATGGGCGCGAGTAAGGAATTTTATCGTTGTATATCGAATGTTCCAACGTATATCGATGGGTATCAATAAACAACCCTGTTTGTCTGAGTTGGGGCATAAAAGCGGGGTTACATTTCGTACCAAATGGAAATCGGGTGTTCCTTTGAACAAGCGTAATTGAAAAACATAGTACAAGTTCTTCGCGTTCTTCGAAGACGGGCACACCGCAAATTGATTTTCAAAGCTTTTCTGTCAGGCTCCACTTTAAGTACTTAATAAAGAAACATTGGAGAACTTCGTTACTTCGAAATTGTTTCGTAAACGAAAATGCCTCCAATGTTTCAGTTTGACAAAGGGCGGCTTATTAGCGAGTTCGGCATCCCAATCAAAGCGAACAACATAAACAAGAATATAATTATAATAACTTGTGAATGTTAGACAAATTCGTCAAAGCGAGATATTGTTCGAGACGATGTCTTTATCGTCCTTATGTTTGTAACAGAAGCAGGAAAAGTTTATTTAGTCTTATCTACGTGTCGCGAGTAATATAAACCGATTGTATGGCACGAGAACGGAACAGGAAGCCCCTTCTCGCTTGAATGCTCAGAAAACGAACAAACAACATAAATGAGAGTTTTATTCGAACTTTTTGTGAAGCCCTTTCGACCTTTGTGTCGGTATTGTGGTGAATTAGATTACAACAATTACAATACGCATTGACTTGTAACACTAGCAAAAAGGCATAAAACTTTCGATAGAAATTAAACTCGTGTTCAATTCTTTTGATCTTGACGTAAACCGGCTTATCTCGTTTTAACTGTTGATAAAGCAAACGCGTAAAGATAAGAGGGATAACAGTGTGGAACAGATTCCTTAACGGTCACATTGTTCAGGCGGCTGGTAGTAACGTTGCCAGTTTTGAGATCGATACGAGGGGAGCAGGCACTGGCGGGGAGCCAACCACTAAAACACGGCAAACCAGAGTTTACGTCGACGCTTTACAGCAAATTACAAACGCTAACTTTATTTATTAGTGCAAAAACAACATGGATAATGCTGATGACGTGGAACACTCGAACGATATCTAGTTAAAACCAGAGCGGACAGTGATAACGGTGAGAGCTACCAGTGTCACGGACGTATGTCTGTTCAAATTAATAAAGTGAACGACATTGACACACGAGTGGCGAGGGACGACAATAAAAACATCGTTGGACACGATCGAAACGATTCGAGCGTTTGAGAGTCACATGTGACCATGAGCGTCATGAACTATTTCAGTTTAATAACATGCCGCATAGCAAACGTGACCGACAGGTTAACTCGACGACTACTAGCTAACTAAAATCCCCAAAGAGTAAATGGAACAACACAAATAAATCCCAAAGAAACTTCATTGTTCGTACTACCTTTTAAGGATTTATTCTTGGTATTGTCTATCACTTCATGAATCGTTGGTCGTTTATCAAATAATCGCGAGAACAAGTCTGTGTCGCTTCTGCAAATACAGAGGTACATTACATGATAAAGGGAGATGACAGTTGAGGAAATTGTCACTTTTGGAGTCATCCGGCAGTTAAATTGACACCGCTTCTCCGCCTCTTCGGGACTCAAATTATCCGTGCTATGATAAATGGCTATTTCAGCCATTACACCTTTGTGTAGACTTGTGTTTTCATTGCTTATAACAAGATCATAATTATTAACATTTTACACAACATAATTTTCACGCACATCCCATATCGATCGTAAACGCATGGTCGCATTCCAGTCAATTATATGAAAACGTGCTACGGAGGAAGTGAATCGTATGGAACTGACAGCACGACGGACGCAATGCAAATCTGTGGCGTGCCGGCGACGTCCATTTATCGTTTTGATCACGTCAACCCGGTCAGATCCATATCGAATACATACCAGACTCTGCTGCCAAGTACGAGGGTTCAATTTAGATGTTGATAAGAAATATCTTGCGTACGAATTAGATGCAAAGAATAGTCGGTCTTAGCACGAAGTTGTAGAGTTGTTATTTGTTTTCGAGCAGTGAAAAGGTAATCGCGATATAGACGGGAGAGACTGGTCCGGCAATTTGCCTATTGCCGAGTTCAATTATCGCCCCCCGCACTCATTACTGAATTAAGGCGAGAGCGACTGTAAATTTTGTGACGCCTCTGCTCTAGAATTGTATCTTATGTAACCACTTGTTACCTGAATACATTGAAATAATGGCAAAATGGAGTAGATACGTCTATACGTCCACATCTATATGTGAATAGGATGAAAACATCACGGAAATGAAATGGTTGTATGAAAATGATTAAGTGAAATCGATTAAACGGCCGTATATTGTTATAATAATAAATACCGTCATAATAGAAGTAATGACAATCAATAAAGTGGCTATAGTGTTCATAAACCGAGCGTGGCACAGTAATAAATTTAACAACTTCCATTCATACTTCGGGAGATAGCTCTAATACTAATTAATAAAGCCGCCTCCGCACCGCCCGAGTAAATTGAACGTTCACATTAAGATTTGGTATTCTAAACGAGGGGAACTTCAAAGTTTCCAATATTTCCATTTCATTCTCTTAACAATTTATCTTATATTAAATTGTTTCAGCTGTCATAAGATTAATTTAATTTAAATTAAAACTGATTACCATAAAAACATATTCTGACATTTTTGAGAAATGCGTTTAATATTAAAAAGCAATAAAAGGTGTACATGACGAGCTGCTTTGTAATTCAAATAATGTAAATTCTAACGCACGACATCGACATATTGTCACACAAACCGTTAGAAAAAATATAATTATGTATATGGAAGCCAAGTTGAACCGGATTTTCTTTAATTAATAAAGCGTCGTGATGAGTAATACTATTAAACAACATAAAAATGGTGTTAGAAATCATGAAATAGTTGTCATAGTAGCAAAAAGGTTTGCGGAAGACTCAAATACACTTTAAAGAGATAATACTCCTGAAGAGAATTTAATAAAGCAATACTTACCAGGCATGAAGTGCAATAACGCAGCGGTGATAGGGTACAGGCTAGGACTGTACGTGATGTCGGGGCAGGCGTACCCAAGGACGGAGACAACCCTGTCGGCGACCGCCCGACCCTTGCGAGTCAGATGGTAGCCGAGGCAGTGGGTCGCCTCCACGAAAGGCGGCAACATGATCGGCTTGTCCGGCAACTCAACTGTGCCGAACACCTGGAAATAATGAATAATGGGTTAGAGCGAAAATTTCAGATTTAATTAAGATAAGAACGTACGAAACAGGAAACTCGCGTCACTGTTAAGGAATTAAAAATATTATTAGATTGTATACGATGGATAGGCTTGCTTAATATTTACAAGGTCTTTTTCTTCTGGTAACATCTCAATACGTTTTTTAATAAATACATTCTTATTTATTGGCAAGCACGTGCACCGGGCGATAACCTTAAATATTACAAAAGACATCCAAACGTTTATTATGAAACATTGTCAATAATATTTACAACATGGAAAACACACACATTCTTCATGGGAATCGAGTGCCGAATTTTGATCTTATATCAAATCAAAAGAACAATGCGAATTCTACAAAAGTTGCCAGACACGTTTATTTTTATAAGTCTGCTTATTGTTACAAGATAACAGACTAACAACATAATAGAAGACTATAAAGAGAAACTTACTATTACGAAGTTTTATAAAAAGATACATAAACTCTCGAGTTTTCTTAGAATCAAAGGTAATCTGGATGAATTAGTTGTTTATCATTGCGTTCGAGACAGATGGCAGCGTTTAAAAGTATCCATTAAAATAGACGTCCCAATTCCAATGTCCGATTTGTAGGATTGGTCTGGTAACACGTTATGCTGCTGGCCCAGCTGTCTGTCGGATGTGATTCTGACGTCAATCGAGTATCAGAATGGGTTTATGAAGCATGTAAAACACCACTTCATCTAATCTATGATTTGCTTATCATTCATTGTACAATTACTGTGGAAAGAAACACGTATACGTAACGCTAACCGACCCACTAATTGAATACAAACACGAGTTGGAAATACGATAAATAATAATTTATCGGTACATCATATTCAATTAGAGATACTAAAACGAATGATGGTCATAAAATTGTAACATCAAACACTAAGTACGCTTTTAAAATATTTGGGAGGTGTATGAGATTCGCAAATTAGTGTGGTCATATGAATTTGTTATCCAATCTTGTCGCCGACATATTCTGTGGACGCGTGATTATCCACTTTGCGACAAGGACGAGATGAGGCGAGGCGCACAAATTATATATTTGAGCCTGCATGTCGGCTTAGATACACGCTACCTAGCACAGGTAGGTACTGTAGATAGATGAATATGACATTGTGTTGAAACATTGAATTCAACTCGTCGGTCTCAGTAGATACAAATGTACCTAAGTGATGTCTAAGTCAGTCTTGCCTACTATCATTCTACTGTTACTCGAAAGCCTTGATCAATTTTTCAATATCTCATCATAAATTTATATATCTCTTACCATCTGGACTTTAAACATGTATCAAAATATTTGGTTAAACCCAGAGAACATATTTGAATTTCAATAAACCATTTAACCTTTCAAAAGTAATTGGTAAGTCAAGATTACGTGGCTATGTGGACTTAACATATTACCTTGTCCAAAATTGATGGGCGGGACACGTTATCTACTAGTAAATATTATTTAAAGGTGTCTAATTTAATAATTTTACTGCTATATGAAACAGCAACTTCATATTCTTTATAGATACAATCCACCCAAGGACAAGAGAAGCTAACATTACTTGCTATAATTTCTTTACAAATATGTTCATCTTAATCACCGTTGTAAAATAGGTAATCTCCATGTCACGTTCCCTGACTACTTAATTATAAACAAAACAACGTATTCTTATTATCATGACTTGTACAAACACGGTTGGATCAATATTTTTGTACAGAAGATAAGAGCGAACATTCGTTAACTTGTTTTGGTAATGACTTTCGTTGAACTTGTAATAAATTGTTCATTAAGTGCTGTCTAAAACAGACTAACTTTAAAATATGTGATTATTAATGAACAAACTATAATAGGTAGAATATAAAGAGATGGCAAGGGCTTACGAAAGTTAATTGATTTGTTAAAAAAACGAAAATGATCAAGTATTTTTTTTTAAGGGGGGAAAATCATCGAATGACTGCTCCCGCCTGGGTGAGGCCGGAGGGAGTGTCAGACTCTTACTGACTAAAAACCACCCCGTTCCTTCTCCTGCACGTCGAGCCGGAGCCCCGGTTACCCGTTAGGTTCAAGTATAGTGCTATATAATCGGGTGTCCTAAAAAGCGGTTCACTGAACGATACCTCACCCAGATAGGTATGATAACGAAATGTACGAAAGAACTTAACCAATCCATTGCGTAAATTTTGGGAAGCCAACGAACCCAATGTTTGTAAATTGGACGTAACGATAAATAAAATAAATACATGCAATAAACATTTTTCAGCAGAGACAACAGCCGGTCCCGGCGATGTGACGCCAACTGACTATATTTAGACCGTCAACAAAGCTCGTGTAAAAAGGAATCGCCGAGATTCAGATAATATTCGCATCAAAAATAATATTGCTTCACCGGTCAGTGATAATTTTAGTGCAATAATATTCCGTGTCATAGTTTCTCAATCGTTTTACGTTTTATTACAGGAATTCATCGTGTGGCACGATATTTCTAAAGTGTATGATCTAGATAAATAAAATGATTCGTCTACTGCGGATAGATAAAGTTCAACCGAGAATAGTAACAGCATTAACGTTAGGGATGTTTTCACTACGCCAACATTCCGTGAAACTGAGCAAAATGGAATTTTAAGTGAGAAAACGCTTAAAGCCGTTGGCTGAAACTCAAAGCCTGCTACACAATGTAATACTTACAAAGCATTTAACTAAAGTAGCTCCCACTTTGGATTACAATGGAACCAAGTCTTTAAAAGGTGAAGCAAAAGCTGTTGTTAAGAACTGTTCAAGTTCAAGTGTAGAAGACGTAACAATAAGGAGATAAATGAATGCTTTTAAAAAAGAATTCCTATTTTTGAAAACAGATATTTTATCCAAAGATAAGAGACAGCGAACAACAATTATTTGGTACTTGAAGCTATAGTAACAGATACGCAAGAATAAATTCAAATTCTAGTATACAGACATAATACAAATTGTCTACGAAATGTGATAGGGACCCTTAGAGAAGTAAATCCACCCAGAACTATTAGCAATATCGTTACAGCAGTATTAATAAATACGGGGAACACTTGTATAAAGACATAGTAATGGGAATAACACGAATGAATAATGTGCGTCGTTGTTTTGTTTTTCAATTACACGAATAATAAATAATTAATTAAGTATTAGACCCCTGAATAATAAGACACACTTTCAAAGAAGTAATTAATTTTAAAGAGAATTGTTTTAAATGATGGAGATATGAACACTGTTTGATTAAATCTAATTCGAACTTCTTTGGACATCAAAATAAAAGTCTATAGAATTGATTGTTAATTACAAAAAAAAACAACAACAACTTTTAAAACAAAATAATCCAACTCAAACGCCTGACTGAGTTCCCAAAAATTTAATTCGAGTATATATTCGCGAATTTAAATTATTGCACTAGAGAGTCACTGAAAAACTTGTAGGCATGTCCGCTTACGTATGAATGGTTTATTTATTATTTCTGTCGCGTACCCTACGTCCGGGGTTCCTGAATAATGAATGTCGTTATGCGTCCACCAGTTTTTGTCCATGTAACGTCACATCACAATGGCGTTAAAATGTCTGCACCATAATTAAATTAGTCCCTGCAAAATAAATGCTGGAAATACCAGTGAAATGCAACGTAAAAACTGTCGTGTTATGTCTAGAGTATTTTTGTGGACATGTGTTAGAGACATTTGTATTATCTCTTAGATATTTTAGTCAAGACAAGATTTTGTGTTTTAAGTGTGATATATTTACATTACTATCATAACTATGTAATATAAAAGAAAAATAATCGTAAATTCTCTTTATTTACATCCATTTTTTAAGGGAGAGAAAAACAAAAGTAAAGTAAACAATCATCCATACGTGGCTTCGCGTGTGAGCCACGCCCCCAGCGCACGCGCACGTTCGAAGCTGTAAGCCGGCCGTCCTTCGCTCAGTCAAGGCCGCCCACGCGCTTAGAACGAATACGCCAAAACCTGAATCCCAGCCTGTTTTGTTTATAAACGAAGCCTCAAAACCGGTTACACAACTTTTCGCACGTGATTCCCGAGTTGAGCATTTATGCTGCCGTATAGAATATTTTTTACAGTTGAATATTATTATACAACTACAAATTGTAGATCATATAACAATAGTAATTAAGTAAGAACACAATGCAATTACAAAAAACCATCTGGTGGCAGTCACGTAGTCGAGTCGATAACAGTAATCTCTCTCGTTTGTTTGTTCGAGGTGAAATTAGACAATGACGATATGCAGAAAATAAACGGACTGCAGATATCGAAATTTAAATTGATCTAGTGTTTCTTGGCATTTACTCGCTAGCATGTAATAATAACACGAAGGTAAATATAAACAGAATGTTTGTATTTCCAATGCGTTGATAGTATTGAGGTCGATAAGCACGTGGGTTGGTGGAGCCCATCACGAGTGCTCGGGTCTTACTCCGGATTGTACCGAATCCAATGGAATCTATTTGTTTTGTTCAGTTTCAACTTGCACATTTGCATTCAACCTTGATGTTTGACATGAATAATGTAATGAATTATGGAGTGCTTTCAACAAGACCACTGATATAGTCGTACAATCTGACGCACTGTATTAAGTGTTGTTTTCAAACCCATATCTATTCGTTATGGATTTATGTCATCTTCACGTTAGATAATTATAATTGCAGTAAAGTATGTTTTTCAATGGTAGTCTATCGTACGTTGCACAAACGTATAAACAACGCGAATCTATAATTAATGAAATTAAGTATTCTGAGAAACATTGCTCAAGATGAATGAGAAGACAATTGGACAATTGGTAGGTTGACACGAATCATAAGGTGTATTGTATGAGCATGGATTATAGGTACATATGTGACAATGGGCACGTGCGTGGGCGAAGCGTTAAGGCCTTAATTAGTACAGCCACAACCCGACGCGACCTCTTGCTACCGACAATCAAC